CGTTTCCGAGATTCCGATTATATATATATATATATATATATACAAGAATTGCTCGTTTAAAGGATAACATGTATTTATTCATATATATATTTATTTATTTTATTCATAAATTTGTGTATGGTAGTGGTGTGTACAATAGCGTATACCTCAAACCCTTCTCACTGATCATTGTATCCTCAGTAACATGGTTGCATGGAAGAAATCGCTTCGAAGCGATAAGGCCGCCAATTGTAACTTTATGTAGTTGTTTGTTAGTTTTGTAATTTTTTCTGGTATACAATAAAGCGTATTTCATTCATTCATTCATTCACTTTTTTGTCAAGATTACACAATAAATGTAGTCTGGTCCCACTTTATTAAAAGGTGGCCACACATCTGCAACCCTACGGGTGTTGCAAATGGTGGCGGTTATCACTTAACATCAGGTGATCCGACAGCTCGTTTGCCACCTTATCAAATATAAAAAAAACAAAAACGATGTACATGAAACACCCACGACCAAGTATTTATTGTACCATCGAAACCTCACTTTGTCTACTGAAACAGAATAAGGCGCTTTAGGCGACGCCAAAAAACATTATATAAACATATTATATTGTGCTACCCGCTGACAGTAGGGTGAAGTGTAACAAGATAAAATGCCTTTTACTGGCTTCATTGGATCCATGTACGTGGCTCTATCATCTATAAATCATTGCCGAGTGAGCGTCTGATTTTATTCCACCTATAACACGTTAATGCTTACTGACATTTTCTACCAGATATCTAACAGGGACGTGAAATTTTACGAATGAAAATAACAAAAACACGTCTGTGAGTACATGTGTGATTCTTTCAATTGTCACGTTGAATTTTATACATGTATTTTCACTTTGATGCGTGATGTAAAAACGTTTTAGTGTAATGTTCTCCGGAATAAAAGTTACGGAGGACTTTATATATGTAATATGTGCAAAATGAACAGCCTAATTGTATGTATGTCCCACTGCTAGGAAAAGCCTTCAACTGTAATAAGGGTGTGAGTGCAAACTTCCCAAGTCTCCGTTAGTTATCTCGGATCCATATCATATACTACATATTTATTAATTTTTGTTACACAGGTTTTTAGGTAAACATATTGCTTTAACCACTGAATACGTGGTTAATTACAATTAAACGGTTATATGTAAATAATTTCATTAGTGCTGATACCAATGTGACAAAGACCTGTGCAAATGTGCGAGAAGTCGATGGATGCTAGTGGTTCACGACCGTGCTTAGTGGCAGCCTGTGTGGGAGGCCTATATTCAACAGTGGACTCAAACAGGCTGAAATGATGATGATGATGACATCAAGGCTCGGACTCGGATTTCCGTAGTAGTGGACAAAAAACTTGTGTTCCCGCACTGAATTACCACAGATCTTGGTACTACTCATCATCAGGCGAACCATCTGCTCGTTTGCCAACTTATCACACAAAAACAACAATCAAGTAATCCTACGGGAAAATGTTGGGAAGCGAAAGGAGTCGTCCACTTCAGCAATGGCGACGGACGCGTTATTTACGAAGGAACTTCGTACAGAACGATTAGAAATATTATTTTAAATAATACTCAACCATCTTTCGCTAACCATAGACGATATCTCGTCTCAGCCGAATTAGGATACTGGTTAAAAAAAACAGATATACTATAAAAAACGGATTTTAACTGAAGAAGAGATGATGTACCCGATTCAAAATGCTTAGTAACGATTCTTAATGAAAACTTTAGAACATCAACGGGCACAAACCCTCAACATCAAATAAACAGATACCAATTGACTCTTCGAGATCACGAAAACACTCGCGCTGTTCAAGCCGCCTCGGTGAAAGTGAAGGAACAGTATAACGTCTAAGTACTTTTTCTTTGGCCCAGAATTTGAGGAACAAGAAAAACAAATAGTTTTCGGCTGCAGTTAATAGGAGGGTTCCGTATACGATTTGTTTATTTCTTTATTTAGCCATTGCAAAACTATTCGGAACAGTTCTGAAATTCATTCATACAAAAGTATTAATAGTGAAAAAATCTTCTAATTGACAAGTAATTGATGATTAGAAGTGAGTATGTTAAGAAAGTATGAAAAAGGACAGTTACAGAGCAAAGGCTACACGTCTCTTTACAAATATTTATTGTTAAATGTTAATTGTAAGGTGTTTGATACTGTAAAGTACGTACACTAGATGGCGCCAAGCATTGCTAAAAATGCAATAAAGAAGTAGTACTTCGTTAGCTTAGCAGTTTGTAAACGGTGATGATAAGGGTTTTTAAACTAATAACTTTAAATTATTAAACAAGATAATAAAAAACAAGTGGGCAGTTACAAGATCAAATCCAAATTATAATTATTAAACCTTGACAGTAATTTGTTATAACGGATGTTGGTGCTATTAGATTAGAAAACAATTCTTGATTCCTGATACCCAAGGGAATGTAAACTTAAACATACTTTTCTTTTGTAAATAAATACATATTATATATATATAAACACCCTTTTTCTTAATCGGACACTCTTGGCAGAGTGGTCGTGGCTGTCGATGAACAGGATTGCGTCTCGTCGTCGCTATTCGCTTCCAAGGCAGCCGCACGTCTTGCGATGTACCAGACACTGGAAAAACACGATGTTCATCACACAATATTTTTCTAGTAGTGGGGATCGAACCCACACCCTCTGGCGCAAGAGGCAGGGTCACTACTCCCCACGGCAATTGGGTCGTCAACCAATCGTCAACTACGCCAGTCGTACGAATTATGATATTATATCTTCTTGTCATGAATTGTGAGGAGAAATAAAATACATTATTATATTATTATTTCACTACCGGGAGAAATACAATCGTACGTTTGTATGTGTCGTCGTGGAATTTTATAATGTACTTAGTGTAAGTGCATTCAACCGTTTGCGATTATCAAGTTAATAAAATAATTTACCTGTTATACAATCTCGTATGAGAATACGTTTAGTTCGAGGTGTTCAGCGATGGGCACCAATATGACTAGTACACTTGCTTCGTTGCGCAAATATGATCCAAACTTTATGAATGACCGTGTGATCTTTTTCCCAAAAAATATTCCAGAAACGGTAAACTCAGCGATGCCCGCTACTAATACTGGAACCCATAATATTCAAGTTTCAGGTTTGACTCCCAGCTAAACGGGCCATAGATTTACTTTTTTATATTCAAAGATATACACCAGCCAATTTAGAATTTATTATCACTAAGTAGAACAAAGTGTTTGGAGATATTTTGCATTTAAATAATAACGTTGCAAAACGATACATTAACGCACTAAAAAAAAATATACGTTAATGTTGTTACCACACACGAAAGGGGCCCTAACTTGTGCGGTAAAAAACCAGATGATTAAAAGACTGCCAAACAGCAACGCGCTTTTTGTGAACACTGTTTTTTGTACTTGTCAAAACTGTTGTAATAACGTTAGGGCTGTCGACTTAATGTAAACGGTTTAAGATTACTCGATTTCTTTGTTTAATTTTTTTAGTGTAAGATTTCTTTATTTGATGGTAAACACTGACATTTAGTTAAACGTCTTGATAATGATTACTAAAAACTGTTTAAAATTGATATAATAGTAAATGTTATAACAGTATGGTTACGGTTTTGGAACTCAATTAGCACATACTTCTCAATCGTCTTTTTGTAAAGTTGATCATAAAGTGTTTCAATAAACCTTAATAGAGGTAGCCCTAAGTCATTTCAATTTACTATTATAAAGTTGTAGATGCTTATTGTTAAAAAAATCGTGTATATGTACGTAGGTCTGTCTGAGAGGGTAATTTAATTCCTCACTAGCTTGAACATGTTGGTCACATACGGGAAAGTTTTAATTCAGTTTGGAGGGATATAAAGTGTACGATACCCGAAGTCTGCTCACGGCTACTTTAAGATACGTGATTGCAATTTATAAGGCTTAGGTGTGACTGTAATAGATATAGATTAATCCGTATATACCTCTTGGTTCACGTAATGATTTCTTGAGTTAACTTTGTTAATCTAAAAAGTCTCGTCTGAAATTTCGTGATGTATAATCAAAATTAGAGACGATATCCGTAAATGAGATTTATTTAGCAATGAACATATTGCGATTGCATCTATGTAAATTGTATTCATTTGAAGTAATCAATAGTAACTTTATCTGTACAACTATAAAGCTACCAATGTCTGCATTAATTTAGATTTTAGAACGAGTGGTCATGCGAAATTATTTTTTTTTTGGGCTTTCTCATCTCGTGCTAAAGATGCCACTGTTTGACGTTTAAGTTTAACTATCATTTATCTCAACAGATCGATATACTATAATAATAATTCAAGTATTTACCTGTCACAAATGACCGTTCTGCGGTATTTCCGGCCCTAAACGGACTTAGTCGACCCCAGTCTGAGACTTTAGTTAACAAAGTCTCCACTTCAGACACATGATTGTTTCGGCTCTGGTAAACGTTTTTTCGAGAAATGTATAGCACTGCCATTTTAAGAGACATCCACAGTGTTATCATTTGCATAGCAATGAACGTTGCTGATTTGCAACATGTCATTTATATGCAGAAGAAACAGAGTAGGAGATAGTACACAGCCTTTTGGAACACCAGCATTGACAAATATAGGATCAGAGTATGTACCGTCGACGACGATCTTGATGCTCCGATTTGCCAAATAGCTGGTTATTCATTTGCATAACTTCTCGGGAAGCCCATAGGAAAGCAGCTTCTATAGATTTGCTTAGTACCATACACGATCTAAGACTTACATTATAATACTTAATATATAATATTATACATTATAAAATTATATATTAATATTTATCTGTATTTCTCTGTAAATAATCTCATTTCCTACCTACTAATCTCAGTCTATCTATAACGGTCAATGTCTATTTTCTATCTCACCTATTTCGTACGTCATCGATTTTAAATAAAATGTTAAACGCAAGCACCACGTTTGCCCGAATAGCGATTAGGAAATGCTCAGCCGTATTCTCGAGCTTTACAGCGATCTAACGTCCCCGATGAATGAGTTACGACGTACCGAGATACTAGTATATGGCGGTTTATATTCAGGCGATATCTAAGCGTCGCCGTCTCGTATCGACAATTTCACAGAGTGCTAGTCCCGCTCCCCCATAAGGCACATAACGTCACTTATCTAAGGGAATGACGTCGAACGTCGCTTCACAGTCCTCGCAACGGAGCGGCAACTCTTTAGAGGTAGTGCGCCTTCCATTTTCCGCTATATTTTTCTCCTCAACACGCCACAGAGTGAACTACATCAGAGCGTCTCAGTTTGCCTTTTTAAACTATTAAATTTCGGGGTAAGTTAATGGATATATGATATCCGCATCAAATTTAAATGTTATTGGTTCTGAAGACAGTCTACATTAAACAGCTTGCACCTAGTGAGCACAACAAAGTAGAAAAAAATCTAACTCTTAAAATAGTATATTAGTTGCCGACAATTTGCCAGTTTTCAATATTGGTAAAACATTCTAAAAATATGATACAATAATTTATTTATCCATCATTTACAATATTATTATTACAATTAAGGTACTGTAATTTCAATAATTCGTGCTTTAAATATAATATGGTTGATGGCCGTTTTTAATGTTAAAATAAATATTTAAAAAGAAACTTCGATGCTTTGCTAAATTCTCTGCTGCAAATCTGTTCTATCAGTGTTCTGTGTGACAGTCTTTTAGTACGTACATTGTTTCCCATTTAAACTCGTGAGTTGCCTTAAAACGTATATTTTAAAGACGTGTTCAGAGGATTTCTGCGATGTCCTGTACCTTTATCTAAGTAACACCGTGGAATTACTAGTGTACCGGTAGACAAAGTACTATAAAGTACTGTGTTTATGAGTGTATCGTTTAAGTATAAAAGATTTATAAAATATGCTTCTTATTTTTTATCATATAATTATCTTATGTTTTATATAATTATCTTATGTTATCTTATGTTAGTTATTATGAAATAAAATTTGAAGTAAGCTAGTTATTTTATTGCTTCGTTCAATCCAAAATCTCTGAGGGTATAAACGTATTCCGACCAGTACGTGTAATAAAGTTTAGAATTGACAGTAAAGTTTTTTTTACGTTAAATGTCAAGCGAGCAGGCATTTTACTTGATTTTAAGTTATTATTTCCGGTCATAGATATGTGCATGCGTTGTAGAAGCGTTGACGACATTTAAAAAAAGTTTTTAAAATCTTGCCCTTACTTTAGGATAACATCTTGTGGACGTTTTACAAACATAAATTTTACGTGGACGAACGTCCAGATGCGAAAGAACTATCTGTGGTTCACACAAATACGCAGACGTCGAAGCCAATACCTTGGCAAGTCCGGTTGTTTCCCTCACCAGAAGGAATGTGAAAATACTATATACTTCACGGGCGTACCTTCGTTATCTGTACATTGCTTATATTCGTTCCGTTCACGTCTTGTTCCAGCGCAGAGTGTCGTGGGTTCGATTGTCGACACGGGACAACTATTTGTGTGAGCCACAGATAATTGTTTCGGCGTTTGTCCACGTGAAATTTATGCTAAAAGTCCTTACAACACTGGACAGTGTTGTTTTAAAACAGGGGCAGTGTTTTTCAAACACCCTACCGAAACCAACTGCACGCTCCACAGGTGGGCTGTTCCAGTTGGGCAAAGTGCTGAACTTCTTCCCGGTCGGCGACGAGCGCGAGTGTCGACCCGAAGGCAACACCTTGGCGAAGGCAGGCATCTGCCTCAACCCCTACGACTGCAGGCAGCGAGACGGAAAGGCGTCGGGAGACTGCGCACATGGCCTCGGCGTATGCTGCGTCTGTGAGTAGAACACCGTTTTTACCGTGAGATTTAAGTTTTGTTTTGTGGTTACTAAATATGTTTTTATCGACTGTACCAATTCGATTGGGAAGGTTGGCCATGAGTACGGATAACGATGACGTTATATGTACAAATGAAGGTGTATCCTATAAGTGATGTGGTTTTAGTATGCGTTATGTTATGGCGATATACTACATACCGCCGGCTATCCTAGTTTTAGTGTAGTGAAGGGTAAGTCTGCCTTAATCTCATGTAACCGTTTTCAATGACCTGGCGGTTGATCTAGCAGTAAAGAATGTATCTTACGACAAAAATATTTGACTGCACCGAACGGAATATACAAAGGAGTATAAAAGGAAACTTTTGATTAATTTTTAAGGAAGTAAACCCAGTATTGAAACGAAGTTTCTAACACCAAATTTTCATTTGGAAGAATAACTATTAACTTAAAGGAGGAATCTAGAAACATGAAAATTATCTAGCGAAGTGTTAAGAGACAGATTTGATTTACTTTTGAGGTGTCTAGCGGCGTAAAAAACTAATAATTAACAGATACCAAGGGTTATGAAGAATTTTTGATCGAATTTGAAAGAGGTGACTTGGCTATATTAATACTTGAACCAAAAACTTTGTACCCCTCTTCACGAAAATTGAGCGGACCAAGAAGTATAAAATGTTTCACACTTATAGTTTTTAAAGCGGAGAGTAGAATGCTAATATTGTTTATGAAACTGTGCATAAAATATATTAAATCAATAAAAAACCGTTACACACATGGTAGTCCATGCTTAATTAATTATGGTCGAATTTTGACCATCGGGCGACTACTAGTATAAATAACCAATATATATAATTTAATAAAAATAATAAATAATTACCAATAAATAAAAGCATGGTCTTGTTACCTGAAAGACGCAGGTTTGCATCCCGCAGCGCCGAAAGTTATGGACTACTTATCTACGTAACTTCTCGTCTTAAATTATCTCTAAGAAAAAAATATTTACTTTACGGAGCGCCGTTATTGTTGAAAACAATTAAGCCACCTACCTTTATTATATAGCTATATTCACTTTCTTTTAAACTAACAATTGTTGTAAGAAACTTGTTTTAGATAGTTTAAAAACAATAATATCAAACGACAAAATGAGAAAAGCTTTTAACTATAACAGAATAGTAACTGTACTATATTTTGACAGTCGACATTCATTTAACACAGAAGCCACTGCAGCAAAATCAAAACTAATTTAACTTGAGGATAACACCCCAACGAAAGTTCTCCAATCTTAAAGTAAATTCTAGTTCTCGTGTGTAAAGTTTATAGACAAGTTAGATATAAGCAAGCCGGGTTAATGGGTACTCGTTTACTTAAGACCAGTCATTGGTAACTTTTAGAGATCGTCATCAAAGAAATACTACAACTATAAATTCTGGACAGGTAAATAAAGAAAGTAACTGCTAAAAATATTTATATACATACAAATCTCGCGGAAAATATATTTATGTCTTAATTATTGACGTTAAGAAGTAATTTTAGATTATTTCATAGCATCATATCAATTTTTGTCTCTTCTTATGATTTATCATTCTATCAAAATTGCTCTGAATTTGTGTAACAGGTATTACTGGTTCACGCTGTAGCTTGTGCTAATGACCTAATGAATGGAAGGATCGCCCGAAGATCCATAACTACACAATAAACCGGTTTGACCTGGAATATGGAAAGAAAAACGTGCTAGCCCATATACTTGACAGACAGTTGACTGTATTATAAGACATTATATCACGAATTGCTATAACTGTTTTATTTTGGTATTCTATATTAAGTATTTCTAAATTTATCATTTATCTGCTCGAGGCCCAGCATGCCATTTGGCTTGTATACCGTAAAAGGTCTATGAGTATAACCCTTTGGATTGATGAGTACGTCATCAGAATCTAAGTCGTTCATATACATTGAAGAACAAATGAAATACAACCAGTTGAGACTCGGCTATCTATCGAATATAATATATCAATATGGTTCTTTCTTTACCCCCTTCAAACTCTTCACTTAAGCGTCCATATGCTTCGTTCGAGCGCATTTCAAACTTTCACTTAGGAGCAGTGCCTCTTTTCGAATGCGCTGTCGCCACTTGACGGACGCGAGATTGTTTCCAAGTCGCCCCATTGTCTAGAGCCGCGTCATTTTCCCTGAAACAAGCCAACTGTGCTAACGGAGAGCCGCCAACTGCCGTCCGCTTGAACTTTACCGGATTCGTTTGAAGTTTCAGGGGCGTCGAACTCGCGCCTTCGTCGTTTTTTGTCTTTCATGCACAAAACTGCTTTACGGATTTTATCGCGTTTGTCTTTGGTCTTTCGTTTTAGCTTATCGATTTAGATAACCTTGTAAAAAAACTTGAACCCTAGTCAGAGACGGTCTCTTGTAAAGGTACATTGTACACACAAATTAATTAGGCATACGCCCAGGTCTGAAATAATTTTCCGTAGGTCATTAGAAATAGTACTTCCTGGTAGGAATCGACTAGACTCAGACCGCAGAATCTTTAGACCATGCGCCAATAATTTTAGTTATTAACTTCCAACCTTTCGATTACGTTGCAGCATGCTTCTTCACAGGAAGTACTTTTAGGCGAAAACTCTTTGTTGTCGTGCTTATTATAGCGACAGATATTTTTATGTGAGAAGGTGGCTATCTACCTGGTAGTTCACCTGATGTTAAATGATAGCCAACTATGGACATTTGCAACACGCCTAGAGTCGCAGATTCGTTGCCAAAAAACTTTCACGCAGGTCTTCTATCAGATCGTGGTACTTACCCGGATAGACCTGCCCATTCGTGCAACAACGAACACTGTTGCGTGGTCCTACCACAGTTAATGTTATCGATTCAAAAGAAAGCGATAAAACACTAGAATGCCAGCTCTTCCTATATATCACAGTTTATAGGGAGTGATTCTGCGGTCGCGAATTGTCAAGTCCCATCCGGCGAAGAGTCTTCGCATTATTCCATTTACACTGTCGGATAACGGAAGCATTGCGGGGCTGCGGATAGCAATTATTTATGGATGAACCCTCGGAATAGCGCTTCAATGCGCTACCATGTGAATTTTTAACTTGGCTGTGCAGGGTTTTATCATTATGGAATTATGAATGTTACGCTATTACATTATCACTACATAATATAAAACAACGTCGTCCCGCTGTCTGTCTGTCCCTATGTATGCTTAGATCTTTGAAACTAAGCAACAGATCTTGATGCGTTTTTTTTTAACTAAATAGAGTGATTCAAGTGATTCATTACACTCGTGCGAAGCGTTAGTTCCAAAATAATTAATATTAAAATTGGAGTGTCTGTTTGTAATATTAAAATAACCGCTTTTTACAAAATGCATATGGATGTATACACGGTAAATATACCAAAATAATTTTGATGTGAAACATCTATAGCCCCACGTAAAACCGATTTCTGGCGTGGCGACGCATGCCGTGGCGACGCGTCGTCACGCTATATGATGGTATATTATTATTACACGCTATATAATTACTCAAATTTAAATTAATTGTTAATAATTATTTATTAATTATTAATTAATTAAATTAATTGTGTGTACTATTACCGAAGTCACTGATTAAACGAATTAAGTAGTCACGATTTCAAATAATTTCGTAAATTTTTGTATTTAATGAAAATAAATGTCAATAAATAGTCATCGTTATCTGGAAAAAAAATCGTAATATTTTATTTTATCATTATGACATATTTAGTTCCTATCACAATCTTTTCTTTTCTGAATATTACTTTTACAAAATAATGTTGATGTTTCACATCTGCCAGGCGTCCCGTGAAGGCTCATTTTTTTATCATTTTTGTCTGTATATCTGTCTGTTTGTTCGGGCTAATCTCTGAAACGGCTGGACCGATTTGGACGGGACTTTCACTGACAGATAGTTGATGTAATAAGGAGTAACTTAGGCTACTTTTATTTTAGAACTTTTCTTATTTTAAATCCACGCGGACGAAGTCGCGGGCACAGCTAGTATGTAGTAAATTCGTGTGCACAAGCGTAAACTCCCCTGCATCCGCCGCCCGTGCGTATCAATAATTCATAATAATTGTTATACGGTAAATTCGCGAACACGGGAATGTATTTATAATTTGATCGGTCCGTCGATAAATCTTGCAAATTGTCCGAACCCGTTCTTTCTCGAGGCACGCTCGATGGTCGCTTCTTCGCAATTATAACGGTATCCGCGATTTTACCTCGTCATTATAGTCGAAGGTTGCATGAGGCCGTCCACACGCCAAGTGCAAGTACTACATTCCGTGCGTTTAATGCGGTAATGCGATGTGTATTTCTCTTGCATCATATATATACAGCGTGTCGTTACCATCGCGACAATAAATGAACACACGTCTAACGCTACTTGCCAATAATCACAAAAAAATATTAACGTTAAACAAAATCCATAATTAAAAAAAAATACTTTTCGAACAAACTAATTAAGTAAAACAGAAAAAAAATTTGTAACATCCGATACAACTCGCGCCACAGCGTCGTATTACAAGCCTCTCCTTCTAACAGTATGTTTTGTCTCTTTTAAATTCATTCAACCCATTCATATGCTTTGTGACCTTTACAAATGAACTTTACGTTACGCTTTTTATAGGTAAGGGTGTTCTAAAATTCTTTGTTTTGGAAAATTTAATAACTCTGTAAATATTGATGTTTAAAGAATTTAAATGTTTACGAACGACGACTTTAAAAAATTATCCCCTATATGTGTCTTCATTTATTGTCGCGATGGTAACGACACGCTGTATAGTGTTATAATCACTGCGGCCGTCATGTGTTCACAGATGGTCGTAGACATGTCTAAGGTATGAAGCTTTTCGCATCTTGGCGAGCACTTCTTTAAATTCAAACAATTTTTGAAGATTATTTGCATTCGGAATTTAATAGGCTATAGGAGGAATCCAGTTTAGTTGTGTCAGCTTATAAAAAATATACGGCTGATAAAAATCATTATTATAAAAATCATTAATAAAGATCATTATTTTTAAGTTTTGTATATTCATTTGTTTTTAGACCGTGAATAAACGTTTCTTCTTCTTCTTAAAAAAGACGTTAAGATTTTCGTCGGTGTGGCAATCAGCCGTTTGGCTCAGTGGCTAGAGCGTCAGGCCGCGAATGCCGAAGACGTGGGTTCGATTCCCACAGCGGCGACAATCTTTTCGTACTTTTATTTGTATATTATATTTACAAATTTTAATGTTCAATCTTAAGTGCAGAGCACTATAAAAAAAATTAAATTAAACTTACACTGGGCCGCAAAAAAACCGGGTCGAAATTCAACATTAAAATTAAAAACAACATTTTATATTTTCACCAATAACTTTAAGACATTTAATGAATTTCATAGCCCTACTGTAGAAGATGTGTGTTGTAAGCACATTTTACTAATATACAATTCACGTGGACAAACTCTCAGATCCGAAACAATTATTTGCGGGTCATACAAATAGATGTCCCGTGTGGGGATCGAACCCACGGCCCCAAAACGATCGACGCCGAAGCCAATACCTTGGCATCTGCGCCACGGAGTCATCACTGGAAATTGTATAAATTAATTAGTTTCAGCGATTAAGGAAACCGATGAAATTTTTTCATAACTAACGTTGAAAATATAATTTCATTTTCGCAAATTATTCATTGCATACGTAAACAGTCTTCATCCCTTGTTTGGAGAACAAAAACTTTTTCTTTATTAGCTAAACATTCATTAACCTTCAGACTCTGAGAGCGCAAACTAAATAATCTAAATTGGCAAAAACGCTGGAGCTCTTGCTAAAAGAAAATAAAAAGCTTGGGTAATTAAAAAGAATTTTCCTTCTTTAGAAAGCTTTCATTTTTTTCATAATTTCTTCGTTGACCGATAAAGCTTGTTTTTGTATAATGAATAAAAGATGAATCTTTTATACCAAATTACCTCGTTTAATAAAGAATATAAATGTTTTCGAACTTTCTTTGTTTTAGATTGAATTGATTCGTAAATAGATACTTTATTTTACTTTCTAAAAACATTGTTTAATATAAATGCCAACATTACATACATAAAGTATAGAAAGCTAACAGTTCCTCCGATGATACGTAATCACCGCCGAGCATTGACATTCACAACACAATATGTTACAAATGCGTTTCCTTCACTCAAGCTATTAAAATCGCTAGAACGTTTCCTGTTTAGTTTCGTTCAACATGAAGGTGGATCTTCCGGCTTTCTGGACTTTATGAAAACTGTATTTCGTGTCTTTACAGTCGAAGTTACCTGCGGCGCCACAGTGCAGAACAACATCAGCTACTTCATGTCGCCCGGCTTCCCTGAGCTGTGGCACGGCGAACGCGACTGCGACGTCCTCGTGGAGAAGACCCACGCCGGCGTCACCCAGCTGAGGATAGATTTCGTCCACTTCACCATAGTAAGTGCCCTAACCTAACCCAACTCCTAAACATTGTCGTTGCGAATGAAGAAGCACTTAATTAAATCAAAACTTTTAGAAGTACAGGCATTTACTTTTAATTTATTAAGTGCTCAGCGGCGATGGAAACTATCGTGAGGTAACCAACATATTTTCGAAATAATAACAAAAAAAATGGTTCGAAAATATGTGAAGTCAGCCAATTCGCAGTGGGGCCGCGTGCAGGACTATGCGCTAATACCCTCTGTATGGAGGAGGCCTTTGTCCAGCAGTGGGACATTTATAGGCTTTTTTACTTTTAATTTATTTGTAACGCACATTTTATTACCATGGACATGATTGTGGGCTCGGATATCAAACAACCTGGTTATTGATGATAATATCGTCCAGCAGAGAGGCATGAAGATGATAGATTCATAACCTGCTCTTAGGATTCAAGTTACACGATTGCTAACATTGTCCATTAGGTTTAGACAATGTAAATGTTTTTAATTGTGGTAGGGCCAAGCAACAGTCTTCTCAGTTGCACGAATTGACAGCTCCGTCCGGTTAAGTACGACGCCCTCATAGAAGACCGGCGTGAAGTAGAAGTGTTATACTTCTGCGTTTTGTCTGATGAGTGAGGCAGGCGGGCCCACTTTATTGTAAGGTGGCAACGGATTTGTAACCCTACGGGTGTTGCAAATGTCAATGGGCCGCGGTTATCAGGAGAACCGCCAGCTCGTTTGCCATCTTGTCACATTAAATGTACTTCGAGTAAACGAATTCAATTGCACCGTATTACGTCATGGCTACGTTTTGTGTGCTCAATTAAAATTATATTCGCCAGCTCCCTTTGACGTCCGCGACTAATTATAATTAGTCGTGACGACGGAGAAAGAATTGTTATACAATCCACGGACAGCGAGCCCGGATCGAATTACGTAAATGGAATAAAGGAATGCGCCCACTCAGAGGCTTTTGGGGTAGCGACGAAATTCAATCTAGCGGATTGTGGATTTGTAACCGCCGCTAGCTGCAACATTAATTATATTTCTAACAGAAAAGAATATATTTGCTTTATTGCTCGCTAGGAAATACAGAAGGGGAAAATACAGGAAAAGGAATTGCTAAGGTAGGAATTTCTTCCAGATAACTACCTAAGTACAGGATGAAGGTAATGAAGTTGCGAGATAACGGTGCAAAATAAAATAAGCCTAAATATAATTACGTACAGATATAACAATATGCTTTGAATTTTTTACGTAACCTTGTATTGAGTCCGTAACCTTGTATCTAACCTTGTAACCTTGTATCTTTGAAATTGCTGGTTTATATTTCTCTTATTAAAAAAAATCAAATGAATACAAATTAAAAGCATGTAATTTTAATCGATCCTTAGGTGATATTGTTAATGAATCAGCCTATGCCATATGCCTCAGCTATAGAAATCGTGAGGGAATCGATAAAATCATTAAAGGCGTTTTTCACCGCCTCAGATGATTTGAATTTTTTTTCTTGTAAGGTTTATCCCAGTTACGAAAAGAAAATTGGTTTCAGTCGAAACAGAGCCTGATGAGTATCAGTCGTGGAGAGCTTCCACTTATGACTCTCGTTATAAGCTGCGAGACTAGCGTGAAGTATAAATATTTATACTATTACGTTTCGTCGAGTGAGGTACCAACTGCACTGCTTTTAGTCGGTGACTCATACAATCCATCTGGTGTGAATTGGCATCGTTGATTAAGTATAGTTGTCCCGCTCACCACATTAAAAAATAGCAGCATATTCGAACTTTTAGAATTAAAGGGACCTAATTTAAGTAAACCTTTTTGGCTCTTATTAAAACAAAGACCGGTTTTAGAAAGCCCCATAACGTATACTTCGATCTCTTTCTCTCCCCTCCAATCACCGTGTTTGTTCATAAGTGAACAACTTAAATTTCTAAATAGCAATAGCGACATCTCTCGTTCGAATTATCGTTGTAAAACGATATTCGAAATTGTTTGTTTGCTGGAAAGGATACAAATGGATTTAAGCATTGATTTAAATGCTAAAAACAATGTAGATAAAAGACGTTCAGATTTTCGTCGGTGTGGCAATCAGCCGTTTAGCTTAGTGGCTAAAGCGTCAGGTCACGAATGCCGAAGACGCGGGTTCGATTCCCCCAGCGGCGACAAACTTTTCGTACTTTTGCTACAAATTACGTTTCACAAAAATTGATATTTTTTTAATAGGTCACTATAATTCTAAAAATCGATGTACAGATATAGTTAAGTATACATGAAACTGTCATTGGATTGTGATCCGTCAAGGGCCAACCGAACAGGACGACAGGAGAGTGTGACGAGGACGCAATGACGGTCGGCGAAGGTGCCAACAACTTCACAGTTTGCGGCCTCAACCACGGACAGCACAGTGAGTCGATGATCTCTTTCTCAGTTACTTTAAAAATTGTCACTATTCTGACACCTCTCGTTCGAATTATCTGTAAAACGATATTCGAAATTGTTTGTATGCTGGAAAGGATAACAATGGACAAGCATTGCTTCAAATGCTAATAAAACGATTATTTTTCGGTGTGGCAATCAGCCGTTTAGCTCAAAAAAATCGATGTACAGATATAGTTAAAGTATACATGAAACTGTCATTGGATTGTGATCCGTCAAGGGCCAACCGAACAGGACGACAGGAGAGTGTGACGAGGACGCAATGACGGTCGGCGAAGGTGCCAACAACTTCACAGTTTGCGGCCTCAACCACGGACAGCACAGTGAGTCGATGATCTCTTTCTCAGTTACCTTTAAAAATTGTCACTATTCTGACACCTCTCGTTCGAATTATCGTTGTAAAACGATATTCGAAATTGTTTGTATGCTGGAAAGGATATAACAATGGACGCGCCAAGCATTGCTTCAAATGCTAATAAAACGGACGTTAAGATTTTCGTCGGTGTGGCAATCAGCCATTTAGCTTAGTGGCTAAAGCGTCAGGCCGTGAATGCGGAAGACGTGGGTTCGATTCCCACAGCGGCCACAATCTTTAGTGTTACTATTCTTGTAAAAGATTGTAGGCCACCACAGAAAGTGACGCTGTATTAAGAGACGGTGTACAGGCAAAGCCGTACATTTTCTATTGTATGACAAAATTGCACACACGACATATTAACTTGCAAGCGCTCGTATGCGCGACCTAGTTTATACTTTAGTTCGTAATTATAATTTTAGTATTAATTAGTACAGTAAAAGCATTCATTGAAATCTGTCGGTTTATTTGACATTACATTATAGCCAACCAATTGACATAAGCTCATCTATCCAACATTGACATTACTACCACGCTTTAACAACTGGTACAAGCAATAACCGGCGCAAACGGTGATATTGATAAGTATAATAGCACTAGCGGACCATAAACCATTCTCGAATCCACTTGAGAAATATCTATAAGAATCATCTTGAGAAATATCTCAAATACCTACAATAAACAAAAGAGTATATATGCGTGTGTGTGTCAAATACATTTTTGCCGTGTGGAACTTTTCTCTATTGATTCAATTATTTTTTATGCGAAATTAAAAAAAATATGCAGAATAATACTGTACTCCTTCTCTATATAAACTACAACGCCCGGTTTCTGAAACGCTGTTCATCCTAGAAAGTAACTAATCAGATTAGTTCTACGATTTACGATTACTTTTACGATAGTCATTGTTTCAGAAACCGGGCGTAAGTGCTCGAAATTTCATACTCCTCCATCCGCGCAATTTTCGTGTTTGCTTCAGTAATATATAGATAAGAATAGTACCACTTTTTTAAGAATGTTCTCTAGACATCTGAGACAAAAAACGTATGAGTGTGACGTAAAACAGGACGTGCCTATATGAAATATCTGTGAAATATTTATTACATCGTACATTTATCCAAACTTTGATTTGTAACATTTGTTTACACTGTATCGTTTCCATTGTAATCGGTCAACAAAGAAATATAATTGGTTCAATCATTCTACTGTCTAAAAACAACACAGAGGAAATTACTTTGTTTCGCCGCAAGATACTAATAATATTTTGTTTACTTTCTATGATTATTACGGTCCTTGTTGACAGAGGCATTATTTGTTATGAGTATGATTGCAAAAAGAACTGTTTTATTCAATAACATATCATAGTATAGTTCGACCTAGACCGCTTATTCACTGCAGGTGAATGATTAGATGAAAGTCTGCAGTTATTAAAACTGATCATCACCAGATGTTCAGTCAGAAGAAGGGGGCAAACTTACCCGATGGAAAGTGATCGTCAACGCCCATGAAGCTTGCTAATGCGGTGGCGTCGTAATATATTCAGCAGTACGATGCTGGATACACTCTTTTTTTTTGGTAGCGCGAAAGAAATCTTCGAAAGATACCCTGTCACCTTACATGACAGGTTTATATGGGGTTTTTGTCCAAAAACCCCATCGGTGGCCATCTTGTGTACATTTTGAGGGACTCTGGGATCTCCCATGGACCGCACAGGTGAATCTCGGTACTACGCCTGTGCACGCCTCGGAGAAGGATAAACATTCTCCGATTCACTCACCCTCCTGCAGCAGCACGAGACCACTTCGTGCTGCTGCCCATCCGAGTCCCCTTTTAGTCGCCTTTAACAACAGGCAGGGGATACCTTAGCCCTATTCTATGAGCCCGGGGCTACAGGGCTGATGCTGGATACACCCTAGAGGTCAATAACCCCGTCCACAGTGTTCTACGACCTGCCAACCGGCAGCCAGAGGCGTGACGACGAACTGCCATCGGGGCTGCCCACGCGGCTGAGGGTGCGCACGCGGGGGGGCGACACAGCGCGTCTGTGGATGCTGCGACTGACGCAGCTGCCACTCGCGCAAGCAGCACCTCATGACTGCCTCCAGAACTACGAAGGCGTTAACGGTACACAGGCACAACACACACACACACACACACACACACACACACACACACACACACACACACACACACACACACACACACACGCACGCACACACGCACGCACGCACGCACGCACGCACGCACGCACGCACGCACGCACGCACGCACGCACGCACGCACGCACGCACACACACACACACACCGCTACGGACGTGCACTTACGACATAACTCAGAGGCAAATGCATACATCGCAGCATTCGATCCCTGTTGATTTTTTAAACGGGGGATTTCGGGATTATCTACAGCTAATCTCGCGACCCTGGGATAGTCCCAGGATTGTATTGATAATAGAAAGTGGTAGCAAAAAGACAGTAAAACATATCAAAATCATCTTTTAGTTTTGTGAGGACAGAATATTTAAGTTTTAAATCTTCAAAACGGCGGTTCAACCAAATTAAATTTTCTTACTATAAAATAAAAAAACTAGGCAAATGAAATCAGCTGAATAAACAAGATGGTTGTAAAAATGTCGAATCATGGTTAGTGCGTTTCGTTTCACGCACATATTTATTGACTTATTTAAAAAAATGAATCAGCCCCAATAGATGCTTAAATTACATTATGCCCTCGGACCGCTGACACTTTGTTAATTAAAAAAATCGGATAAGCGCAGCGTCTGATATATGCCTGTCTGGATTCATATAACCATTTTTTTTCATACTATATGATAATGTTGTCTCTCTGCAAGCATACATTGCAATCTCAATTTGCTACACTATCGGCATCACGTCTGCATCTTATTTTATGAGGACTCGAAGCCATCAAATCGTCAGCTTGTATGCGTATGCGTGCGTGTGTGCATGCGTGCGTGCGTGCGTGTATTTGGTTTTTTGTGCGTGAGTGTGGATTGCAGTAAATTGACGTGCAACTCACGCAGGCACCATCAAGACTTTCAACTACGCTGTGAACGGCCGCCACTTGGCGTCCCACCGTTATCGTGCGTGCATCCGCCAAGAGCCCGGCTTCTGCGCAATCCGATACTGGCCCTGCGACGCCGGCTCCTTTCGAATCGGGCCCCCGGCCGATGTGCCCGCCCTCATGGATCCTGCAGGTCAGTGCCATGTCAAATCCAATGTCACGATCTCAGGTATTGATTTTAATGAAGGAAACATATTATAAACGAGAAAGACTATGTATGATGCTAACGACCCGCTTCGAACGGGTGCACTTATTATACATATAAACATTCCTCTTGAATCCAAGCAAGATCCGTTGCGTAGTTTTAAACATCTATCCCCTGCCTGTCGTAAAAGGCGACTAAAAGGGGACACGAATGGGCAGCAGCATGACGTGGTCTCGTGTTGCTGCAAGAGGGTGAGGGGATCGGAGAAGGTTTATCCTTCTCCGAGGCGTGCTCAGATGTAGTACCGAGGGACACCGTCCCATGGGAGATCCTGAAGTCCCTCCAAATGTACAGAAGGCGGCCTCCGAGGGGGTTTTAGTGGAAAAAAAACCCCACCCCCAAGATTTCCCCCCCGATAACAAAAAAAAAAAAGACTCAGTGACCATTGGGGTCCTGGCCTTTATCCATCTAGCACGAAGTTCTGTTGGCGAAAATACTAGACGTCATGCGCCTGTTTATCAATAACTCTAGTCTGCCTCCACCTTATCCTGGTGAAAGACCATGCTTTTCATGACTCGGCAGCTCAGTTGCTAAGGCAGTTGCATGAGTACCTGGGTCGTAGGTGCGATTCCCATATAGACAAATATTTTTGCTACTCGTACAATTGTTGGATATCTTGGTGTTTGTTTCCAAAGAGGGTTAAAGTCTGGCAACTCCCTCGGTTGATCGTAAAAAACCTGTAGATTTCACTAACAACATGATTCATATGTTTTACCGACGACCTCCCCATCTAGATGATAGACGGTGGTAGATTTTTTGTTGACGTTCAATAAGAGCTTAAGTTAGGTCTATATTGAATAAATATACTTTGACTTTGACTTTGAGATGGGATAATGACAGAAGTATGATTATGATGATCTCAATTATTGCTTTTGAAAAGATGGATTTCATATTCCTCCATTCAGCAAAATGTTTCTGGTCCACGAGAACAAGAAACTGCCACGAAACTCCTTGCCAATGCTGAGATTCAAACATAGGCCTGAGATTTCCTTAATTCAGATGTGTTGTGAAGTTTTGTTCAAACATTTCAAACCGGAGACCAAGCCTGAATAGAGAAGTATTGTAAAAAGGGATTGGAACCAGACTAAAAGGAATACTCGTAAACAGCCAAATACTGTAAAATTAATCCACCCCTTAATATCTTTAAAGGTAGTCGTTGCGCCGATAGTGAAACATTCGCTTGCATATAATTATATAGGTGTTTCACAAATAGACATGAGAGTAAGAAAAGGGGATGTCTTCTTCAGCTATGCCTCCGACGCAAGAGACGACTCCAAGCGCCGTGCAGACCCAGGAGGACATGGTCGAAGGCTCCGGAGATGAGCCCCAGAGTGCCACATCATCATCTACACCCACCGCTCCTCTAGCTACCAGAGTGAGCTCCATACTTTACTTGATCAATCTTGACAAATATTGTAGGTGTTTGAAGGTTTATATTCCTTTAAATAATAATGTCTACAATAACAGCATGTTTGTAATAAACTTTAATGTCTTGGAAGAGCCGTTATAACAATAACCAGCGAGAATGAATTTCAGTTTCTTCCTCGGTTCTGTTCCTCACTTCAATAATTCCTTAATAGAATAACAATCCTTGAACAAAAAATAACTATCCTCAATGTTTATATAAATGTAATTATTGCTCCAATAATATCCATTTTAATTCTCACTATTAGCATTAACCACCCCGTAGTTAGGAGTAACAGCACCCCGAAAATCTAGATCTGGAGGTTCATGTGGCCGTCTTGGATGTGGGGTCAGAGGCGGGCTCGGACCCTGACCCGCTGGTCGCCATACGTGCAGCACGGCGTAGGCGACGTGCTACGCTACTACGGCTACGGCGACTACGCCGGGCGGCCACGCTGCTACGATCGTATCACCATCCCGTGCGACGACGAGTACCTGTTGATGGTAAGTTGCGGATTACAAATCACTTTGTACTGTTCGTCTTTTTTTTAAAGGGTGTCAATTGTGAAAGGCGTTTTGGGGGAGGGTGCCAGAACCTAGCCCAATCTCACGTGGGGGCTCAGAGAGGTTGTGTTCTCGGTGGTATTTAGTTTGGTTAGAAAGAAGAACTACATGTTTTAATGTTTTAATAGAAAGAAGAGCAATTTACCGTGTATATAATTATGTTAGTTTATTCTTGTTATGAATTTCTTTTGAAGAATATAAAGACAGTCATAAAAATATGTATCACTCCAAATCAATTTTAATTCATTAAGTAAAAAGTTAAAGCATTTCTTATGACTAAATGTTCACAATTTTTCAGTGGTTTCCCGTTGTTATGTAACAACAAAGTATTCATCATCAGGTTCTTACTTTCTTATGTGAGGAGGTAGCAAGCGAGCTGATGGGTCACCTGATGTTAAGTGATAACCGCCTCCCATCGACATTTGCAACACCCGTAACAAATGCATTGCCGCCTTTTAATAAAGTGGGCCCCAGAAGTGTAATACTTCCACTTCACCCCGGCCTTCTATAAGGTTGTGTTACTTCCAAGGATGGAGCTGTTCATTAAATTGTGGCAGCCGAACCTGCCTTAAACCGGTCGAAGCCTATATTGCTGACTAGCCTAACGGACCGAATTACGCTAACTGAAGCTGCCTTAGGCTAGAAGTTCTCCAAGCCGGATAGCTTCTAGCCTAACGGGTTCGTTTACGGCGGCCGAAGCTACCTTAAACAGGTCCAAGCCGGTATAGCTCACTAGCCTAACTAACCGGCTTACGGCGGCCGAAGCTGCCTCAAACCGGTCCAAGCCGGTATGCACACCAAGCCGACGTTACGAACAGCCGTCGCTGTCGGCGGGCGTGTGCGAGCCGCACCGCTGCGGCGGCTCGTTCTGCCCGGGCGTGCCGCCCGCCCACTGCCGCGTGGACTCGTCGGTGCGTCCGTTCGCGGTGTCGGTGCGCTTCGGGCCGCCCGTGCGCAAGGGCAGCGCGGACGACAACATCGGCGCGTGCCTCAGGTACGCCCAGCTGCCGTGCGGCTCGTGAGCGAGCTGCAGCATGCCTCGAGCTATAAGCATGCGCCCGCGGCCACGGTGAGCATACATTGAGCTAGGAACATACGTACGCGGCACGAGCTGAGCATACAGAGTTATAAGCATACGAGGACGTCTGCGTCTGAGCTGAAGTATACTTTGAGCTATAAAAATACATGAATCACGAGCTGAGCATACATTGAGCTCATCGCAAGTTATCTCGTTGGTTTTTCTTTAGGCAAACAATTACAACTATAAGCATGTATTCGGCGTTATTAGCTTAAGCTTGCGCAATAAATTACATTATGAAATTTAAAGTCACGAATTTTGTGTTAGACACAGCGGCTCATCTAAATCACTGTTATCCATTAGTAAAACGGTATTTGTAATTTAAAAAAAAAGTGTGTGCGTGTAACCTTTACGCGCGATTGAAGTAAAACTTCTTTGGCGTTGACGGCATATATCACTGAAATGATTAAATATTTAGTAACGTCATAAGTATATGTCATATTTTTAAAATATGACATATACTGATGACGTTACTTCTGTCATATTTTGTATGTCATACGTCATATTTTAAAAATATGACATATACTTATGACGTTACTTCCGTCAGAAAAAGCGTTACTTCCGTCAGAAAAAATCTGAGTTACTCCCTAGTCCCCCTAAAGAAGTTTTACTTCAAAAAACTTGTGTTTATGTGTTTTACTCTTATCGTAGTTGTGGTATTGTCAATGTATGCTTTGTATTGCCAGTTTTTGTGTTAGCCAGATTGTTTGTTTTGTAGTACTAATACACGTACGAACATTGTTTCCAACGTTTTGTTATGATCTAAATCTAAATTTCTCAATTCTGTATGTCGTTTTTATTTTGGGACCTCTAAATGCAACGTCATAGATAAAATGGTGGCGTTTGTGATACTTCTTTCGGACCATGTTATTCATATCGTGATTTAATACACTCTTTTTTATAATCGTCTTATGTATTTAGTATAATCGTCTTATATATATATATGTCTTTTTGTTGAACAGGTTTTTCATTTTCATCATTTCGAGCATACAAATGTTTGATATAAAAAATGCTCTTGTATAATACACGATGTTTATTTTAATGGGAATTAATTATCGTGTATCGTACCAGAGATTTCTTAGTATTATCATTATACACGTCAGTTTTTCTTCTACGTAATGAGGGCAGTGCTGGTACTAAGACACCTTTAATTACCTGACACTGTAATTTATTGTAGTTCAACCTAAAGTTTGGTTTATTTTACCATAGCGAAATGTGATTTTTGATAGGAATGTTGTAAAAAGTCATCAATATGTGATACCAAATATTCGATTGTAGTGAAAGTTTAAAATTTAGTAATTAATTAGATTTAACTAACGTTATTCATTGATAGAGAATAAAAAGAAATGAATTATATTTATTGTTTTAAAATAATTGATTAAACTCGTTGTAAATGAATGTACAGCACATCATAAAGTGTACATACAAAAACTGTGAAAGATTTTTTTATATAAATAACATTTTTTTGCTTTCTCTGTGTAATAAAGATAAAATGTTTTGACGATACGTAAAGTCAACCCATTTCAATTGTGATTACTTGGTAATAAACGGAACGTTATAAATGTCCATTAATTTATAAATGTCCATTTATATATGAATTATTTATTTATTGTTGAAGATAAAACTAGTAAGTTATTTATTGCTATTACTATGTACAGAGTTATCGTAGTTATACCATTGTACATAATTGTTTTTTGATGTTATTATGTTATACAAATTTTATCGACGAGCAAAAGTAAAAATTTTTGTCATTATAAAATGGGATTTTTTTTATGTTACGGTTGTTTTTATGGTACGGTACAATAAAAATTACACTGTATGACAGTATGGATGATAATGTATATAAATTATCAGACAACAATGAATAATTTTATTTTAATTTATGCATACAATATAAAAAAAAATGTTGAATAAATCTAGCATAATGACTTTCTTAATGACTGGCTTGTTCTTGACTATAATTCCACCAAAAAAACGTATTGCACTTAGATGGAGTGTATAAATACATAATTATGGAACAGATTCACTGCTACGACCACTGAAATACTACTATAGATATACTTAAAACGGCGACATTTTTTAAAGGACATTAATTTAAAAAAACAAAATAATATCCTTTAAAAATTTTGAGAGCAAAGACGTCTCTCTCTAATTTTGAAATATTTCATTGTAAAGTGTTAAATGAAAAAGTGATCGCTTTGCTGCCAAACATTGTTTAAAATTTAACAAAAATAAACAAAATACATAAAACATGTTGAGGTTTTCATTCATTTTCATTTGTTTGTGACCCGTTCAGTTCAGTGCCTAGAGTGTCAGGCGCAATCCCGGAGGATCCAGGCGCAAATACTCGAAGCAGTGAAAAACTTTTCGTCTATTTTTCTACAAATTTTTAAATTTCACCTTAAATGCAGTGTTTATAAAACTATTCATCATCATCATCACTTCAGCCTGTTTCAGTCCATTGCCAAACCCCTCCCGCACAGATCACTGCGAACCAAGATCCTGAGCCACCTGAATCCATCGACTTCTCGCACATTTGCACAGGTTGTCTAATGGGGGGCAACCCCCCCATGGACGTCCAAGATAAAATTTAATATCCTTTAAATAAGACTTCAAGACATTGTTAGCATTTGCTGCGTGGTCCAGACTACAATTAATAGTTTAAAACTCTCTGTAGACTAGGTTAACAGCAACGTCACAATGACGTACTGTAGTAGGTCCTGTTTTTGGTATTACGGGGTTACGTCCGGTTCGTCTCGCCTCGGAGAAGGATAAACCTTCCCCGATTCCCTCGTTATCTTGCAGTTCGTGCTGCTGCCAATCCGTCTCCACTTTTAGTCGATTTTTTCGAGTTTGCCGGGGCCCACATTTTATAAAGGTTTTCAACACTTCCGCAAGCCCTCAGGTATTGGAGATGCCCATGGGCAGCGGTATTCACCTAAAATCAGGTGAATAGCTGGACAATTTCTCGTATAAAAAGGTCAAACACCTTAGACCGTCTTGTAACCATTAATTGTGTAAAGTATTTGAGATGTCTAGAGTTAAATTAAACCGATTGTATTTAGATAAAATCGGGAATACTCGCGCCTGATAAATTACACCAATTGAGGTATGTCTCTCTCTATCCAAGTATCGAGCCTTGATTGCATAACTTTTGGGATGTCGCATTACTTTTTTGCGTCATGTACCGAGTTGAAAAAATGCCGAAGGCTGAATCACTAGAAACTTTGTCTTGCTTTTTTACTACGTCTCATAAAATGTTTTGTCTATACTTCTTTTCCGTGTTAGTTAACTTTGATGCTTACTTTGGATTTGAGTTCAGAGGCTACAAAGAAAAAGCAATACAATTTAAGTAAGCATTTGCAGTAGGTAATAGTGAAGTGTTTTTGAAAACAGGATCAAGAATACAGGTACTTTTACTATGATACCAAGGTTTGTGAATAGCAACTTTCGACTAAATGCCGATCCCATTAATCCGATGGATGGAAATAAAACCGCCCTGTCGAAGTTTCTCGAATCCCTCCCCGCCACCCCGAGCGCTTCGCGGTAAATTCTTCAGTTGAGAATCGTCCGACGGTAACGGTTCTATTTGCGGGCGGGAGTTAATTTTGAAACTTTGCCGAGCTAATTAAAATGGCTGGAAGCTGCCGAGTGTACGCAATGAAACTTATGAAACGTAAAGGAAGACTGGAAGAGACTCGTCGGTAGCGAAACGGAACAGGTAACTTGTGGTATTGCTCAATCGAGCTTATAGCAACTCGAAATGTGACCTGTTGAACAATTTGTACAATTGTCTTATATTTTGTAATAGCTTCTTTATCTATTCGTTAACTGTGACAGGGCCACGCGAAAGTTCGCTGTTGCACGAATGGGCAGGCCCGTCCGGGGAAGTACCAGGACCTCACAGAAAACCTGCGTGAAGTGGAAGTGTTCTACTTCTGCGTTTCGTGTGGACAGTGAGGTAGCCGGCGCGCACTTTACTAAAAGGTGCAACCCTTGCAAATGTCCATGGGCGGCGGTTATCACTCAGCATTAGGTGACCCGCCAGCTCGCTTGCCATCTTCTTACATAAAAATAATAGTTTTCACGAAGTTTGCCTGATGATTAGTGATTATCGCAGCTCATGGACAGCCAGTAGGGTTGGGCTTCTGTCCGGACACTTAAAAGGATGGGCTGCGGCTACATCACTCGGTAGGCGATATGAAAAAGTATAAGTATTTTTGATTCGTGCTATCTGCGAGACCGTAGTTCTCGGATAAATTGTAGCCGGAATCTTTTGACTTCTAGAGACACTTTAACGACTTGTATTTCATTATAAATGATTGTTCATGTGCCACATGTTCTCGTCGAAAATTGTGGAAATTCAAAAAATAACTCTAAAAAGGCTGGATCAATTCGGCTAATTATTTTTTGTATGTTCCTTAAGTTCCACGAAAAAAAAAAGAATTCTGCCGGACGTCTAGTGTAATATCGTCAACGTCAGGTGGCTCAGGATTGTGCTTCCTGACAGGATGTGGGGGAGTTCAGCAATGGACTCGTGGTCGTTGCTGGGGTGTGGTATATCTCTATTGAGCGTATGACTTGCAGAATATTAAATAATAACGACGGCCTGTCACTTACACTTGCAGTTTATTGTTCCACAACACATATAGTTCACAAATGAACAGTTAGAAGGAGAAGGCAACGGAATTACTTAGAATACGAAGAAACAAGAAGAGAGATAGAGGAAAAGCAAAGCGTAACACAATTAACATTAACGAAATATACTTGAGCAGCGTTAACAAAGCGTCCGTGAGGCAAAGCCACCATCTCTCCGCGTCATAGCACGTAAACTGGGGAAGGCGGCGGTGCGAACTGCGAACGCGCAGTTGGCTAGCAGCCACTGCCCCAGAACATTGCCATACATGGTGCGTTAGCGATGGAGCTGCCGGGATCGAACCT